AGGATCGCTGGCCCACTGTTCACTGGAAATGAAGATCGCATGCGTCGACTCCCACAAATCCTGTCGGTTGCGATCCTGGAACTCCAAGTACAGAGAGGCGAGCTGGTCCAACCAGCCAGTACGAGGGAATGAGATCGGCGCAATCCGACGTTTGGCTGTCTTCCAAGGATCTTGGGCATATAAGGCCGCGATCTGGGACTGACACACCAGCCGAGGTATCCACTCAGATGCGGGAGGAGGACACCTGGACACCATTTTCTTTGGGAAGACATAGCCTTTGGGACGTGATAAGTGGCGGTACAGGACGTCAGGGTCCATCTCCGCAACGCTCGTCCAACTAACCTTGCGTGCTGACCATGGAGAAACCTGAGTGAAGGATCGCGGTACGCGATATTTATATCCAGGGATCCACTGATCGCGAGAGATCTTGGTGGGGGGCAAGTTATCGTACTCCGCCAGTGATTCCATCGGATTGACGTGATCACGAGGCAAATTAGAAAGGCTAATGGCACCATCCGAGTCACTGGACGCTTCTCCAGATAGGTCTACGCAAGATACCTTGGTCACGGAAGGATTAGTAGGATCCACAGGAGGTGGAGGATCGCGCGAAGGGCTCGGCGTGTCTATGACGATTAGATCCGAAGAAGGCCCAGCCAAAAGTTGTGCCGCCGGATTGAACGCTAGACGACGACTGGAAGATCGCGAACAGGATAAAGCCGCTAAAGTCTCATCCTTACCCGCCGATGAACCCTTCCCCTCAGACGAGGTTAAGCTCGGACCACGGCACCTCTGCTTGCCCATTTCCGGGTAGCTGCAGGCCTCGCTGGATCATGGCGACTCTTGAGAACGCGACGACCCTTAAGGTCGCGGGTTCCCTTGGGGGCGGACGAAGGCTTGAGATTGCAAACTCGGGACTGCTTGGTATTGGATGCAGCGGATCGAGCAACTTTCTTGAAAGGCGGCAAAGTTGACGATGGTAAGGGATCGCGAGATCGTTTGCGACTCGATCTTGAAACGTTCGACATCGGTTGAGGAGGCGCGGGAATGGGCGTGTGGGTAGACGATCCCACCTTTATAGGTGTGGCTGAAGTATCCCCAGACATTAGCGACGCCATGCGATCCCGAAGGAACATGTGATCTCGTATTGCGCGATCACGTTCGGAAGCCATGTCCGCGAGCTGAACTCGCATCTAGTCCAACGTAACGTCGCGATCCGATACGATGCGACTCAATTGATCGCACTCAGCGGATCGGGCAGACAGAGAATCATGCGCCTCGCCCAGTTCGGCCCGAAGCCCCGATACCTGCTTGAGCGCGCGACACAGCTTTTCTTGGAGTTGGAGGCCGGGTTTCTTGTACTTCGAATTCTTGCGATTTGCCTTGTCCAGGCTGTGGGACAACTTGTCGCATTCAGCTACCAATCGTTATCTCGCCTCGTCCATCTGCTTGCGTATTCCGGCGATCTCACGATCGGCTTTCTCCTGTGCGGCATGAAGCGCTCGCACAGTCCGGATAATTTGGGACTTTAGATGCTCGATCACGGCGGTCTGGTCGACCCGGTCAGCCAACGCCTCCCAATAGACCTCGGACTGCTTGACCTCGTCATCGTAGCGAACGCGCAAGCGGTCGTACTTATACTAGACGAACTAGACGAAAGGGGACGCGGAGGTGCGGAGCTCCTGAAGATCCTCACTCAGCTGGCGATTCTGGATCATCTGCCGCTCCAAAGCAGCCTCCATACTCTGGTATCTATCCACGACAGTCTGTTTAAGGTTCAGGCAAACGTAAAGCGAATTTATCGCTGCGTTTAACGTGGCTTGATCGACCGAACACGAGGCCTCGATCCGAGTACTGGGGAGCAAGATGGGCTCACTCGGATCCGGAGTTGGAACATGTCGGCTGGCGGAGGTCCTGTCCGGAGCGGGAATCGAAGAAGATCGCGTCAGAGGGATCGCGATGGATAACCTACCAGAGCCTTCCTCCATCTGGGCCGACGTCACCACAGTCGGGCGAGCACACTCGGTCACCGGCACGGTGGAGGCGTCTGAGATCGCAGGACTAATAGGCGTCAAGGTTCCGACATCTGGAGTTATAATCGCAGAGGGCGATCCGAGGGGCCCAGATCCTAAAGCCGGAGGAGATACCTGAGCCAGATAGGCGGGATCGGACTTCGTGTCGGAAGATGCGAAAATGCGTGGAAAAGAAATGAAGCCCACCAGGTTGCACAGCCAGATCAACAACGTATGTTAACTGACGGTGCAGGGGACGGTTGTGGCAAAGCGGTGGCAAAGAAATCTCCTTGGGACTAATATCGGCGATCCAAAGGGTCACTCGCTCCGGCTAAGCCAAGAATGTTATGATTGGTGGATACAAGCTGGGATGGGTGGCTGACAATAGCGTACCCAATCCCCAAGTGGTTATGATCGCCCAGACTGGGATGAGGCTATAGGGTAGTCACACCCGTTGTGATTACGCAATCCGTCGTGAGACATGGCAATACAAGACCCTCGATCTCATTGGAAGAACGCGATCCTAACCCAGGATCGCAAGCCCGATCTCCAACTGCGATCCGCTAAGTGGGATCTCGATCCGCTAACAGGATCCCGATCCGCTAACAGGATCTCTATCCGCTAGTAGGATCACGATCCGCTAGTAGGATCCCGATCCGCTCATAGGATCCCGATCCGCTAGTAGGATCACGAGGATATCTTGGGTGGGCCACAAGAAGATACAACGGTGGATATACTGGGTGTGGACCACATAAATGCGAGGGGACGATCTTCCTGGAACGGCGACGCGTGTCATCTGGTTAAGATATACGGATAGGCATAGGGGTAGGGTTAAGGTTGGTTGGCTAACATTAAACAGAGTTCAATTTACTTCACAAGGCATACGTTATCTCTTCCGGGTAGGATCTTTGGCCCCCCGTCGAATAAAGAGTCACGCTACACGTCTACGCGAGTGTCACACCTGGATTGTTTTGGCCAGGTGTGTTCAAGAACTCTCAAGCAACATCAAATGCGATCGGACGCAGCAAGACACGTAAAGGCAAGGAGCAAGATTCGTGAGAAGGCTCGCGGATCAAGCTACCGCATAGTGGACAAGGCGATCTCGTTGAGATCAGGGTAACTTATATTAGTACCCACAAGTACCCCGTGATCGCGTGAAGATTTCCGCACGATCACAACCCCATCTCCAACACGGCCAAGTTTTCCTTCGACACGAGTCCACCTGGAAGAGTGCAACCCGCCCTACCGACGGGTACACAAGGTGAGGAAGGCAACACACAGTGAATCGGAGTACCCCCTCCGTTAGTCGGTCGTCCGGGCGCCAGTGGAGAGTTGGGATCGACTCATATATTGAGCGATCGCCACTCCACCACAGTCATTTCAGGTTTTGCATACGCTAAAGAATGTTGAGGAGTGCGAATGTCTGTCGGTAAGGAAGGTAATCGTTAACCCGGTCGACAATCTCATTGTACGCGTCGATCACGTAGCTGTCTTCGATATTCTCTTCAGCTTCTGACGAATATACATCCGCCCACCAATCGTACATATTATCGTAGTGTGTGAGCAGTCCGCCCTCTAAACTGGTGCGAGCCGAACCGTTTTGGGCACTTTCGACCAAAAATTCCCCTTCAATTTGAAGCCACAAATTCCATTGTGCCACCATTACGGCCAAAATTTTCGTTCGACTCTCATCGTCGGCGGTCGCTTCAGCGCCAGTGTGGCGAAGGCCACTCGCTCGACTCGTCCGCCACGTCGCCACGAAGTGCATGGGCTTGTAGCAGAGTCACCGTGGACAGGAAGACGACGATGCCAGGTAGGAGCACGGCGTAAAACTAGACGCATTGCTTACTATGATGGTGGGGAGAAGTGTTCGCTGGAGGGTGAATGTGGGAATGAGGTGAAGTGGGGTCCTCGGAGACGCAGTGCGCCCGTCATCCAGGGTGCGGTTTGAGCCCTGCTTTCGAGACATGCGTCCGGTGTCTACCGTATGGTCATAAGACTGGAAGGTGCGTTTTACTGCTCTTATCCTTACTATCGTCCTTGCCATAGTATGCAGCTCGATATGCCATCTGAGACCAGAAATCATGTAATGGGGCACACCCCTTGCGTGAACTTAACGCAAGGGTGACGTGTGCCCGACAAGCGTACACAGGGCAACCGAGGAAGCGGTAGGCAAAACAGAACTCGAAAGCCATGTCTTGACGGAAAAGTAGTACTGTTTTGTAATATAGTTATAACGTTAAAAAATCATCTTTTGACTTACTCTAACTATATTAAACTATTTTCTCCTATGTGAGTACCTTGCTCACCACCCATTGCGCGCGTCCAGCAGCAATCGGTGGTTGAGTTGGTTGGTGTACACCGTACATCAACCGAGAAGTGGACCCCTCCACGGATATTATCCTTAGCGATAATAATCCGACAACATCACTCATTTCGAGTGATCATGATGGATTATTATCAAAATAGATAATATTTAGAAATTGGTACTTCCATACCAATTTTTATGTAACGGGTTTGCCCCGTTACAAATCAGCTCAGTGGAGACCAGCTTCTCGACTTGATTCTTGCATACCATCTGTAGCACAAAAGAAGTCGAAGAAAAGCCACAGTCGCGCATTGTATGAACCGCCTTGTTCCTTTCATCAATTGACAGAGCACAAGACACTTGAGTCTATCGCAAGGTGTATCAGTGATCCTGCATCCCTAATCAAAGGGCATTTTGCCGCGAAGTAGCTGGTCGCCAGATGGGACTATTCACATCTTGAAGGAGGGGTAAGAGAAAAACGTATCTGTCAAACATTCATTATGCGGAGATAGAGCAGAAGGAGACGAAAACAATGATCCCGACAAGCGAGTGCCCAAAGTCGAAACTGCGTGAAACGAGTCACCCTCGTTTCGTTCATCTCTAGACAGCACCACTGGAGAACACTGAGCGTCGTGTGTCACTTGAAGCCAAACGCGGACGTCCAACATATCACTAGCAAGATATTATCGGCCTGCTGAAATTAAATCTGCCGTCAACGTCAAGTTGCCGGCCACGGCCAGCGACGACGTTACCGATCGAATCGCGCTCTCGAGCGACATGACAATGTGCACCGCGAGTGAGTTCATTACGACGTGCAAGTGCAGACTCACGGTCGACTCGCCCATGCCTTGCAGTTCGTAGTCATTTAGGAACATCACGAGGTCGTCTAGCCGTTCGTACTCTTGCACGGCCTGCAGGTCTTCAAAAATGTGCTCGGAAGCAAAGAGTTTGTTCATCAGCAGAGCGGAAAACCGTCGCACTGATGCGTGGAAATGCACGTACGCGGCCTGCAGCCCCGTGCTTTGGTCCAGCGACGGGCAGTGGAACAGCCCCAGCACGTCCATGACGCGGTGAATCGCGTGAACGTCCTCTCTATTGCACATGTCAACGCGTTTCACCGCGTCAGACACGAAACGAAAGCGCAGCGACCCCGAGCCAGTCCATGACAAGCCGCAGAACGGCGAGAGCTCAGCGGCGTAGCCTGTTGAAGGTTGAGCGTTGCTTCCGCCAACACTTATCGTGATACTGATCACACCAGGTAAATGTTAACCACATATATTGCTGTAGTAGCCGATGATGATGCCAGGTCCATAAGAAGACGCGAGATTATGAAAGGAAACAATGCATGTCAGTGGTACTGGTTAACACGTCAATATATTTGTCAGTTCACAACTATCATCACAGTACGCAAGTACTAGTACAACCAGCAGCGAAGAGTCGACTGCTGAGCTGGAGAACTCCGGCGCGCATAAAGCTAAAGAGCGGACGCGTCGCTAACCGGAAAAAATAGCCCCCGGGCGCGTGAGGCTGCGCAGAGGGAGCACGCAATGCGCCTGTAAGAGACGCATGTACGACGCCAGCTCCGGGGGCGGCGCGTCGTCCGTGCACGGGCACGTCCGCGCGCGGACGCGGGTCATGGGTTGACGCGATTGACCTAAAGTGGGCAGGTCGGGATGGGGAATAATCCAAACGAGGATAGCAATCGTCAGGCTTCAACGGGTCCTTGAGTTTCGCGCAATGTCCCAAAAAGTCATGCCCGGACTCTAGATGGTGATGCGCCTACCTTCAATAGTTATTTTCGTCCACAGGATGATCATGATCACGATTGTCACAGCCTCATGTATTTTTTGACCAATGCGCGTGTCTCCTTTCGTCGTCGGAATGTTTGCTGTCGTCGCTATCCTCATTTTTTGGCATTCTACTGTCAATTTCACGCACGCCCCTGCATCGCGCCATGACGACCGAGACGGACGCGCAGCTGTATGTACCGCTGAAGGTACGGCGCCAGCGCGAGCACGAGCGGCTGCAACAACGTCTTACGGTCCTCCAGCAGCGTCTGCAGCACGAACGCAGTGACTCAGAGAGCGCAAGCGACTCGGACGAGCTCCAGCTTAAGAAACAAAAGACCACATCGTTATCGACACTGACAACATCGACCTCAAGCGATTCAAAGGCAGCGGAAGCACTGTCTTCTACTGCGTCAATCGAGGATCAGCAGCAACAACAACAACGATCGAGCGTGATTTTGTTGGATCAGGCGTTTGCGATGCGTAAGAGCGGGGGGAGGACAAGGCGTGAACCAGCAAAAGCTCCGGCGAGACGCTGAGGAGGTTCATATGCTCAAGGAAGCGATGACGTTACCAAAATCAGCGCTTGTTTCGGATCATGAACGGGCCGAGGGGATTTACCACGATGAGACGATGCACACGACGCGGCAACCGCCACGATGTGTGCGGTACATGACCTAAGACGAGTGTGACGCGGTGCGGAATAAGTGGCACATCCTGGTTTAAGGCGAGAACGTGTCACCGCCCATCAAGCCTTTCGAGTACATGCGGTTTTCGCGTGCAATCCTGGACGCGCTCAAGACCAAAAAAATCCTGCGACCGACGCTTATTCAAGTGCAAGCCATGCCGCGCATTCTCGCAGGACGCGACATGATTGGTATTGCGTTCACTGGATCAGGTAAAACTGTGACGTTCACGCTGCCTCTGGTGATGCTGGCGCTCGAAGAGGAGACGAAAATGCCGGTTGTTGGTCATGAAGGTCCGTTCGGACTGATTGCAGGTCCATCCCACAAACTCATGAGATAGTTGTTTGGTGTGGTAAAGCACTTTACAACTTACTTGTTTAAATCAGGATACCCCGAGCTTCGCAGTCCACTCTGCATTGACGGAGAAGATAAGCGGCAGCAATCCGACTTGATTGCCTAGTCGCGGCGTGCATATTGTGGTAGCTACTCCAGGTCGATTGAGCCACTTTTGAAACTGGGCGAGATGAATTTGCGCTTGTGCAAATACATTTGCTTGGACGGAGGTGATCGCATGCTGGACTTGGGTGTTGACAAGGAGGTTGCTATGACTTTCAACCACTTCACAAGTCAAAGGCAACCGTTGCTCGTCTCTGCTACGATGCCACAAAAGTTCCAGGATCTCGCCAAAGATGTGCTGGTCAAACCTGTTTTAGTCAACGTCGGTCGTGCCGGTGCCGCAAATTTGGCTGTGATCCAGGAAGTTGAGTACGTGGAGCAAGACGCCAAGATCGTCTACTTGCTCGAGTGCTTGCAAAAAACCAGCCCTCCGGTCGTCATTTTCTGTGAACGCAAAAGCGATGTTAACCTCATCTACGAGTACCTCATCTTGAAGGGCGTTAAAGTGGCCTTGATTCACGGTGGCAAGAATCAGGAAGAGCGGAATGAAGCTATTGACCTGTTCAAGAGTGAGCAAAATGACGTGTTGGTTGCCACGGACATCGCCGCGAAGGGTCTTGACTTTCCAGACATCAAGCACGTTATCAACTTCGATATGCCGCCGAAATCGTAAAGTACGTGCATAGAATTGGTCGTACAGGTCGTTGTGGTAAGAACGGAGTTGCTACGACGTTCATTAACAAAAGTGTACCGGACAGTGCGATATTCGATCTCAAGCATCTACTCGTCGAGGCGAAGCAGACGGTGCCACGAGTACTCATGGCGTTTGAGGATCCGTACGAGGAGCTGGAGAGCAGGGGCGATGGACTGCCGAATGCAACTGGCACCAAAGGCTGTGAATTCTGCGGTGGTCTGGGTCTCTGCATCATTGACTGTCCGAAAGTGGATTCGCAGGTGCGGAAAATTGGTGCGGGCAAGCGTGACTTTGTCGCTGGTAAAAGCGAAGGTTACGGTGGTGATTCGCTTAGTTAATCGCAGGTAGGTAGCGCAAAACGTGTATCCTCACCGTACTGAGTCACCCACGGCACTTGCATGTAGCCCGGCCCACATGGTGAAGCTACGCAACACAAAAATATAGCATAAAACACGAAAGCGAGACAACATCGTGCAGTCAGACTTGTGCGTATTTTTCACCTGCAGTGGCTCACATCACGCCGTCAAGAAAATCCTCACGATATTCGAATCGCAATGGACGGCACTTACTACCTGCGAGTCACCTGTGCTGACATGCGGCAGTCCTATACAGTTGCGTTTCGGACACGCGATCGTTATGGAGAAACTGTGCCACAGTTGATGTCAGCTTCAACGTAGGCGTCTGCAAAGCGATTGTCATGACGAGTCTTTTTGGTGCAGACCTTATCAAGTCAATAAGACTTGGCTTGCTCACTGGCACTGTACAAATTCATCGGAATACTGGACACTGCGATCGTATTGACGCACCATTTCGTTGAGATACAAAAACAAACAGCTTTGTAGTGACGTCAGAGCGACTCCAAATTGCTGCGCTTCTGCTACACGCGCTTGTCGACGTGCAGAGACGCGCTTTGTTCGCAAACGGTCGGCGCTCAATACCTCACAGACTCATCTTGACAGCCCGGCTTGTCGACACTCATCTGCACACAACACGCTTTCTCTCATCCTAAACGAGCATGGTATACTACATGCATACGCTTCTACCCACAAAAAAGATAACGACGGCTTCATTCTTGACTGCTCATTCAATGGGGAAGCGAGCGCAAGTGTACGTTACCCATTTGCGAACATTTGCGGGCTGACAGCTGCTCGGAGCATACAAACCTCCGACGCTCAAAGAGTGGTCGGTATCTACATGCAAATAGCTTGCACTGATCACTTGTCGATCTATGAAGCGCAAGATGCGGGTCCCGAATCATGCTGCAAGTCTACCTACAACGTGTCCAAGCGTCCAGGTTCCTGCATGAAACCCCATGTTTGGTGGTATGGCTTGTCCATATTATCTGCTTCTCCAACGGCGACATTTGTTTCTTGCCGTAGAACCAAGTCAATGGCCCCTCGGTCGTCTTGCTGTCGGAAATGGCCAAATCACTCTGCACACCTGTCCGAGTTTTTGGGAAAACCAGCGACGTTCTGTGAATGAAGACCAATAGTATTTTCTTGTGGTCGTGTGCGACCCTTCGCATGGGAGCGGTGGCGAAATTTTAATATCGCATCGGATAGTAGGAAAGCGTGCGCGTGGATCGTCTTTTGACTCACTCCTAACGGAGGAAGGTATACCGCTACACGACGGTCCGCAGGATTCTGATCTACTGCGGTGCCCTCAGTACTGAAGAGTCGACGGCCGATCCTCATGAGCAAAGAGATCGAGCGCCAGTTTCCTATTTGACGGCTTAGCGAGCACACCAACAACTGCAGCCCGAACATCAGCGGAGGTGTAATAGACTGCCGCCTTTGTCTGAGGTATCACTACAGTGGTCCCACGCTCGCGCGGCACTAAACTTTGAAGTAATGTACTTAAGACGTTCAAGACTCCCTAGTGATCGACATCTGTAACCGTATTTATCATAGTAGTACATAGCAGATCTGGTTGCACCGTATTGACGCGACGCCATCTTTGGATCGAATTGGTAGTCCGCCATTGAATTTTCCCATTCTGATCATCCGCTGTCGCATCCCACCCGGTGCATACTTTGACGAAGGTGCTCATTGTGGAGTTTGCATGTTGTCGAATGACCGCAAGCTGAGATTCGCTATTGATGCCATGACCGAATTTCCGAAGCGAATTAACCGGTCATGTTGGCGAAAAAAATAACTGGAAGGGAGCGCGGTCACTAGTGTCGCGAGCTCGGACGAACAGTGAGGAATTCAATCATTCTGGCCTGACAGGCTTAACGGTGGCAAAGCAGGCAGCATAGATACCAATCTACGGGCGGTTACCCATATTTGATAGTGGCCGCGTTCGCGTGGATCTGTTTTGTGCGCTCCGGGACTGATGCTGCAACTACTACGTCCGAGCCAGTCCCAGGAAGTATTCGGTTGCGCATGGCTCTGAGCTTCTGTGCATGATTGTTTGGAGCCCGTATGTCGCCTTGTGCCGGGTGGACCTCTAGAGTGGTGACCAGTGGAACATCACGCGTGAAGTCGGTGTTGATGGCGGTCCCTAAATCACTGTGAAAGGTGTCGGCGTAATCGTTTCCCGACATCTAAATTTCTTCAGCGATATCCTGGGCGATAGTTGCGGAATCAGGTACACTAGATGCACATCGAGGAGGAGATTACTTTCCCATTCATATTATCAACACGCATCGTGCATACAAGTGACGACACTCCCCATCATGTTTACGTCGAAGTTTTGCTAGATTAAGATATATTGTTCCGGCCCAGGCTCGGTCTCCGCAAATAAACATTCTTGTGCAGGGGGCGTGGAGGCGGTTGTCGCTGACGGTAGGGACTGGACCGATTCATTATGTCCATCTGCCTCCTGTGGCGGACGTACGAGGACAAAAGATGGTGGATTGTAGCGCGAATTTTTCCCGTATGTTTGCCGCCTTTCCGTCGCTGTCTCCCCCGGCATTAAATTGTGACGACTGGATTTGTCAACTATACTGAAAAATACTTCGCAAGTCTCCGTTCCTTGGATTTAAGGTCACTCTTTGCGGCTGAAACCACTACCTCTGCTTGCGAAGTTGCGGCGATAGCAATCCGATAGTCCCATTCCGAGTCGAGTAGCTCGTGACTGGTCAAGTCCATCGCTGGATTTCTCCAACGAGTATAGTTTCTTGTGCAACTGTTGATTATAACACCTGCCCTTGAGCCTCAAAGTACTTCGCCTGCCCCAGATGCAATTCTAATTTCTTCTGCAGCCGCCTGCAACGCGATTACGCGCAACTTTGCTAGATCAACTTTATCCTGAGCGACTTCTCGGGCTATAGCACCTGTGGAGCCTTTTCAACCGCGTCGGAAGAAACGGTTCTACGGTGGTGGTCGGTCCTAGAATTATTTCCTCCTCAGAGAGAAGCTGGATCAATCATTTATCTTCGTCGATCTGCGGCTGACCGGTGTTGAAGTAGTGTAAGGAGGCTTTTGTGACGCGAGCTTGGGCTGACCCCCCCGTGGTCTCGCCGTTGAAGTGGCCTGGGAGGAAACAGGCTTAGTACCCTGACATGGGTTAGCCTTTTTCGGAGCGATTAAACTGTCACCCCTGGAGGAATTCGAGGGCTGCTCGCAGGTGACTTCTGCACTTGCGCAAGATTAATTTGCATTTTACCAAAGTCGTGGCCTTTCCCAGGCTGTTGTTAGCTTTTTGCTGGTTTCTTGTTTTCTTGTTGCTACCAGGGCCGAACCAGTCGCCATCTGCAAGATCCTGGGAAAGGTTACCGTCGCGTTCGTTCTGTGTTTGGCATTCACTGGAATTGGGACAAAGAGCTACCTGGATTGAAACCTTGGCGGGGGGTCGAATGGAGGGCGCCGGAAAAAGGCCAATATGGGACGAGCAACCATCCAATGGGTAGCTTTGTTATCAGGCCACACCTTTGGGTGTGCTGTGCCGGGCGCCGGAGGACCCTTAAGCCGGAAATCCTGATAGTGGAATGAGGGGTGGGTGTCCTGTAAGAAGTCCAAACTGAGTTACAGTACTCGCAATTCACCTCAGGGTGGTCTGCAGGACCGCGCGGCATAAATCTCTCTGTTTCTGGCATTTGGTCGCAGAGGCGCTCGTCTTCCAGAAGTGGCGACTGCTGAACCTTCAGCAGTGAGGATTTACGCGCATCCGCTTGCAACTGGGTCATCGAATCTGCCAGACGATCTGTCGATTTGCGAACATGCTTAGACGGCCCGCCACATCGAGGTGGGCGAAGGATAATACATACAAATGGTTAATGCGTGGGATTGCCCCGTGTACTTTCTGTG